AGTTGTATGGTTTTCATATTACTACCGAAGGGGACACGTATATTAGTGATAGTACACTAATAAACCTTGATGAACCTAATAGCTATAAGGAAGCCATGGCAGGCTTAGAGTCTGCAAAGTTGAAAGAGGCAATGGATAGCGAGATCCAATCCATGTATGATAACCAAGTTTGGAATTTGGTTGAAAATGTGCCCGGATGTAAGACCGTTGGGTGCAAATGGATCTTCAAGAAGAAGACCGACGTGGATGGAAAGGTACACACGTATAAAACGTGATTGGTTGTGAAGGGCTTTACTCAAACTCCCGGATTTGACTATGAAGAGACCTTCTCACCAGTTGGGAAGATAAAATCTATTAGAGTGATGCTAGCTATTGCCGCATTTCATGATTCTGAGATTTGGCAAATGGATGTCAAGACCGCTTTCCTTAACGGGAAGTTGGCTGAGGATGTTTACATGGCTCAACTAGAGGGGTTTGTGGATTTGAAGCATCCGAATAGAGTGTGTAAGCTTGAGAATTCCATTTATGGACTGAAATAAGGGTCTCGCAGATGGAATCGTTGCTTCGATGAGAAAGTCAAAGAGTTTGGATTTGTACGAAGCGAAGATGAATCGTGTGTATATGTCAAAGCAAGTGGGAGTGTAGTAAGCTTCCTCGTTTTATATGTCGATGAAATATTACTCATAGGAAACGATGTCCCGACTCTGCAGGAGGTTAAGTCCTAACTCGGGAAGTGCTTCACTATGAAGGACCTCGGAGAGGCTTCCTATATTTTGGAAATAAGGATAGTAAGAGAAAGAAGTAAGAGACTAATAGGACTTAGTCAGAACACTTACTTATAGAAGGTACTAAAACGTTTTAGTATGGAAAACTCGAAGAAGGGAGAATTACCGATACAAAGCAATGTTATGTTGAGTAAGAATCAAAGTCCGAGTACCGAAGCCAAGATAGCGGAAATGAGCCGAGTTCCATATGCTTCCGCAGTTGGCTCAATCATGTACGCTATGACTTGTACTCGCCCTGATGTAGCCTTTGCTTTGAGCATGGTTAGTAGATATCAAGGGAACCCTGGTAGAGCCCATTGGATTGCGGTGAAGAATATCCTTAAGTACCTTCGGAGGATGAAGGAATGGTTCTTAGTCCTTGGAGGGAGTGATGACTTAAAGGTGTGAGGGTATAGTGACGACAGCTTTCAGACCGACAGAGACAACTACCGTTCGCAGTCGGGCTGGGTTTTTACCCTGAATGGAGGAGCAGTAACTTGGAAAATTTCTAAGCAGGAAACCGTAGCTGATTCAACGTGTGAATCAGAGTACATTGCAGCGAGCGAAGCGTCGAAGGAGGCAATGTGGCTGAAGAACTTCATTGGTGATCTTGGAGTTGTACCTGCCATAAAGGAGCCCATGGATATTTTATGTGATAATGAAGGAGCGGTTGCCTTGACCAAGGAACCAAGAGATCATGGTAGATCACGACATATCGACAGAAAATATCACTTTATTTGACATCATGTAGAAGAAGGAAAACTCGTAGTGAAGAGGATATCATCAGAAGATAACCCAGCAGATCCACTTACGAAGGAACTGAGTAGGGTTAAGCATTTGCAGCATGCTAAGAGTATTGGGCTGAAGGATGATATTAGCATAGATTAGATAGTATTAGAAACGTATAATAGATAAATGTAATTAACATTTGATGATTAAATAAAGGAATTTTATTTATGAGTAATGTTACTGTCTTATGTTAATTGTTTAACTATTGTTTCACTTTGCATGTTTTGACTTCCAGAATAATTGAGTTTATTAAGAATAATCGAATTGTTCAAATTGTCCACAATCGTTCATATGTCGAAAGTAGATATGAATGAAGATTGTCATGAATAGGTGTGTAGAATGTCTAAATGGTTTTAGACATAGCAAAAGATTGCTGCAACGTTCATGAGTGCTTATGAACTAGTTTTGAGCATTAGAACAAACCCGTGCTTGCTGGAATCACCTTATGGAATGTGATAAAAGGATGATCGCAAGACGATAATATCATATAGTCTTAAAACCTAGATATATGGTTTGTTATTTGTTAATTGATTGTACATTGATAATGCGAAAACGCATTGGTAACTCGATGTTATAAAATGCATTGTTGTGTATAGTTGTTTAATGAATAAGTAAATGCATATAAGTCGAAGTTTATCTGTAACTTTTATCCTAAGAAGGAAAAAGCGATATCTTGGCCGCTCGATGATTTGATTTGACTTATGTGTCGGGCCCGGTTAGAACTTAATTGATGTGTTTGATTAAGTTCTATGTCAAATAAATCGGAAATCGAGAAACCAAATGCTAGACTAATCATTCCATATAATTGTCAGCATGATATCTAACAGAGGACTGTAGGATCCCTTATCTGAAGGACAAGATGGATTAGATAAGAGTTTGACAGCGTCTTTGAGAGCTACGATTGCAAATCGGATTGTACTTGTGCATATAGTTACTAGACTTCTCCAAGTGGGAGACTGTTGGAATAGTGTCTAAGGCTGCAACTATATTAGGCAAGTATTTGACCCGATTGTGCATGGTCCTTTTGGGTTGCCTTCACCATATCAACTTGGTAGGATGATTTATTATGAGAGAATAGATATTACACTACTAGAAAACTGGGCTTTAATGACGCGCAAACAATGACACACACGGATAGACGATGCGCATTTGTACGTACCCTAAAAACTAATGTCAGTTTTCCAAAATTTTAAGGATTGAGGACGCGCATTTATGCGTGCCCTAAAATTAGTGTTAGAAAAGAAAAAAAAAGTACTGCGGAGGGCGCCTTTCATAAAACGTGCGTCGTGTAAGAGTGTCGCTTTATAATTTTTTAATGAAACACGCCTTTAAGGCGGGAAATGATACGGTGGAAACAAAATCCCCAAAGTTTTTGAAGACCCGCTCATTCTTTTCTCTCCACCTGCCGATGACCTTCATTTTCTCCCCTCCTTCTCTCTGTAAAACCTAACATCCACCACCACCAGAAACATGAAGACCATTCTCTCGATCGTATCTTTATTGCGATGATTCTTTCTCGATCGGATCGAAGACCGCTCACTCTCTCCTTAGATCTCCCGCGATTCTGATCCCCCCTCTCTGTAACACCCTCGCTTCCTTCCAAAAATCAAAGACCATTCTCTCTTGATCGTATCTTTATGGCGACGATTAGACACAATAATCTCAACATAAAATTGGTAACGTAACTTGTCTTCACCTCTACCCTACTCCATCTACAATGACTCCTCACATTTACAAACCCTAGTCCAGTTGCTCTTCTAGCCTTGGTCATTTTTCTTCATCCGTTCAGCAAATAAGGGGAACACGGCTTCTCATTTACAAACCCTAGTACAGAAATGCAAGGATTTGGTTCGACCAGTGGGTTGTGTTGTTTTAGTTTAATTGACAGCTTAGGGCTAATCATGGTATGCTCAATTGTAATAATCTCAATGCAATTCTCTCTAGTTGAATTCTTTATCTGTTTATCTATATGAACTGCCTTGTAGTTTTTGATTTGTGTATGGTTTAGCAAACATCTTTGAGCGACCTATGTTCAATGGATATGTAATTTCAGTTTTAGGTTTAGACCTATGGTCTACTGTTCATGTTTACGAGAATTTACCGTGTAAAATATGTTCTACTTATAACTATTACATGGTGTGTTTGCCTAACTTTTTGATATCATTACAAAATAACTCTCCATTTCCAAATGGAGGAGATTTAATGGTAGACCTTGAGGAGGCTTTGGTCAAACATCGATCTAATCACATAACAGGTTCTAAAATGGCAGAAACAAGGGAAAAACGGATCGAGAGCCACATCTAAAATCGTTTGACACAACTTGAAGGTGAACATAAGAAGCATTTTTATTATACTTTAACATTGTAGAGAAATATTCAGATTGCTTGGTAATCTCTGTATAGTTAAATGTAGTTTCTTTTTGGCAGCATAAACTTGATTTTTGCATTTGGCCTATTTTTCATAATTACATCAAGGGTGCAAATTTGATTATGGGAGATTGATAGAAAGCACCTTCATTGTTTCCATGTTCTTGCCTTTGGATTCAAGAATGCTTGATATCCTGTAATGGAATTGAGACCAGTCAACTCCAATATATTTCTGTTATTTTCATTGTTTCTGGTTCCCCTTCTTGAAGAAGTTATTACTATGTTGATGGTTTAAAATCACATTACATTGTATTTAAATGGAATTCTCCTTTCATAGAATTCGAATTGTTTTACCATAATCTTTTTAAGGAATTAAAGTCCTAATGCTCTGTAAACCAACACCCTAGACCTTTATTTGATGTCTTATACAATTCTACATGAATATTTACTGGCAGGTGAAGTTGTTTGTAGATATCATTTAACTTTACTCATATTTTTTATCATGAATTTAGAATTACCTTTAAGCAGAGGTGAAGACCTTTAGTGAAAGTGTTTGCTTGAACTCCATGAACTTAAGGTATACTGTAGTTTATAACATCTTGTTTTTCCATATTTTCTTTTGTATCTAAAGATTAACATTTAATGGGTTAAATTCAAGAAAAAACTATGTACTTTCATCTATTTCCTTATCATAGCATTCTACTTTCATCTTTTTCTACTACAACATTGTACTTCAGTAGGGTTTGATGACTTAAGAATTCACTTGTAATTTAGTGTTTCTATAATACCCATAACCAATTATTTTAATAAACAGGGGGTCGTAGAGAAGATGATTGGACTTGCCCTAGCTATGGAAATGTGAATTTCTCTTTCAGGCCAACATGCAATATGCGTAATTGTACACAACGTAGACCAGCAGATCATAATTCTGTAATTTCCACATTTTGTTTATATTTATACACCATTTAGCCCCCATTGTTTCATTTTAGTCCCCTCTTTATGTAGCTTGCAACTTCTGTTACACTTGTACAACACTACAACTAATAGTTTTACTGTGTTACAGAAATCTGGTGGAAAGGCAATGCAGACCCCACAAGGGTATTCATCTATTACTGCTGGTCATTACGTTGGTTTTGGTGCACCTTCATCAATGTATATTGCTGTACAACCTTATGGCTCCTCTCTCTCTATGCCACCTCCTTATGATGTTCATGTTCCTCTGCTTATAATTATAGTTATGGAATTCACCTTTGTGGAGGCAGCAACCCCTATAGACCCCTCCCACCCCTACTCTGGTGGCTCAATCATAGGTACACTAAATATAATAACTTTTATTTTTCTCCTTTTTTAATTTATATATATATATATATATATATATATATATATATATATATATATATATATATATATATATATATATATATATATATATAGTTGGTATGTATGGAGTACCTCCGATGATGGATCGATACTTGCCTTTGGGCCACACTCCAATGGTATGGTTGTATAAGTATTAAAATCTTTTTGTTATAAATTTATAATGAATTGACTGTTTTGACCCATGAAAATTGATAGGGTCTACGACCTGGGTTTTATCCAGAAGAGAAAGCAAAGAAAGGTGTTGAAAACATTTTGTATGTTGATTTTATTTTGGGATGAACAGATAGCTAATGTTATTATTATTATTTTATATTTTAGATGGAAAAAGCGACAATGATTGGGTATGCCCTAATTGTGGAAATGTGAATTTCTCGTTTAGGACAGTTTGTAACATGAGAAAATGCAATACACCTAAGCCAGGATCTCAGGTATTTAATATTTTTTCTTTACACCTAGTTTCATCTTCTGTATTTCTTAAACAACAATTGACTAAATGTTATGATGAAATTTTTTTTTGTTTGAATTTGTTTCCAGGCTTCAAAGTCAGGAAAGAACTTCAGTAAGTTAAATTTTGTTTTTGGAAATCATAGCTTTGATATTCAGAAATCATAAATGATAATGTGTTTGTTTTCAGAAGGAGATATGCCTGATGGGAGCTGGAAGTGTGATCATTGTAACAACATAAACTATCCATTCAGAACAAAATGCAGTAGACAAAACTGTGGTGCTGAAAAACCATTAGAATCCGGGAAATCCCCTTCAGAAGAAGCAGAAGAAAACGATCAGGTCTGTTTACTTTCATTTTCATCAAACTTATGTTGCTTAAAAATGTGTTTCTTTCCATTTACATTTTCTAATTCTATAAAACTTTTTTATAAATGTAAAAGTCAAAAAAGCTATTAGCAGCTCTTTTTTACTCCAGTCAGTCATCATCTCCCTTTGGTCATTTTAGCAAAGTTCTTGTTGAAGGGTATAGTCGTCTTTTTTTTAATCCACATTTATTTACTCATTTGTGGTTGTTGTGTCTTGTCAACTTTGCATCCAATAAAAAATATATTTACAAAAAAATGGTATTTGTGGTCGTTATGAAGAAGGTTGGCTGGAGGTTTAAGTCTCAAGGTCTAAGTCAGAAGGAGATATCTAGTATGTGATTGATGTTATGAGAAAAGGAAACAAAATGAAATTTGTTCTGAAAATACATCAGCAGCGACGGTTGGCATAATCAAGGCTCTTCAGTTTGTATCCAAACCGAGTGTTTGACATTGTAAGTTCTACCATTTCTAGTTTTTTTGACTTTGTATTGAAGTTGCAATAAATGAGGTACTTGAGTTGACTGTACTCACTGATTTAGGTATTAGAGTCTTTCAAACTTCATCCGGATAACAATGTCTTCTTGAACCTGATCCCTGTTTTCCCCAAGGTACAACACTTAAATATGCCCGATTAACGACTAAAAGGCTATTATAAGGGTGCATGATTCACAATATATTCTCTCAAGGGATGAGATCTATAAAAGAATTGCAATCATTGGGCATGTTTGCTTGGTGTTGGAATTTAAGATTCCATTCCATGGCTGGCATGTTTGGTTGCCTTGCGAAAAAAAAATTAATTCCTTTGTTTTTAAAAGTTTCCTTATTTACTTTTAGGTCAGAATAAATTTGGGAAGTTACGTTTTGATTGGTGATCTCCCTTGGTGAAAATAGGTTAATTGGGGAAGTTTCCCCCAGAATAAAAATGCATGCATTATCTAAGCCTTTTTCTGAAAGGCTAATTGTACATTATCCAATCTCTTCTGTTCTGGGCATTTCTTGCAGTCTAATGCTTCACAAATTCTTGGGTTCAAGTTCCAATATTATCAATGTTTGGAAGTAAATAGTACCGTACCCTTTGGGATCTATCAGCTAACTGCAATACTGGTTAAAAAAGAATTTCTTGATCTTGATAGTATGTAATTATTCATTCATTCATTCAGTTTTTGCTTTCAATAAATTTGTTTCCTTAAGAATCATACTGTTTCACCTAGGATAATAATGGGGACTAAGACTTATATGGACATTTCAGTTGGTTATGGAAGAATCTTTGCTTCAGTACATCGTTGCTTTGCTTTTCTTTTATTTTTATCTCTTCAATGAAAGTTCCTGAATCTGGCTGAAGAGATTTGTTATTTTTGTTGCTTTTTTAGTTGCTAATAATTTGGATATGTATTATTTGCAGCTTGCTAGGACATGCTATAACTTTTATCAGTCCACACCAACAAAGTTGGCTGGAGAAAACTACCTCCATTCAGGGCAGGTTAGTAGTTTCTCATGATGATGTGTTGTTTCTTGTGTAATTAAAAGCTTTTTGGTTTCAGCTTTTTGATTGTGTGATTAATAATTTTTTTTGGTTTCAGCTAATGTTCAAGTCATTATTTGTCATCTACACTCGATGGACAATAACACATTTTTTGACATGGAGGATTTGTCTTTTACATGATATCTGAAACAAAATGTCCCTTAATAGCAATGTAATAATAGGTTAGATAGTTAGGGATTGTATTTTATGCAATGGATTGTATTTTTTGTATATGATTATTTGTATGACATTAAATTTTATGCAATGCATTGTATTTTTTTGTATATGATATTTTATTTTCTATTATGAGACATTAAATACAAATTTAATTTGAAAATTGGTAAATCTGTAAATAATATATTTTTTAAACATTTAAAATTATGATGCGCAAATCTGTAAATAATGTAATGACCCAATTTTCACGTCCGAAAATTTCGTTCGAAAACATTACTTTAGAAAACATTAGCAATTAAAAACATTGTTTGATCAAACCATAACATAACCTAAACCATGTCTAAAAGCCAAACCATACAACCCATCAAAATATCAAAGTACAAATCCCAGTGAATCTCGTAAATGCGGAAACCAGAGTGTGTGCATGATGTGCCGCTACCGCGCCAGCTCTTTCCCCTTCGGAGAAGAGGTACCTGAAACCAAAACTGTAAAACGTAAGCACAAAGCTTAGTGAGTTCCCCCAATGTACCACATACCATACAAACACATAACATACATACTGCCAGGCTACTCTGGGGTGCCTGACTACCCGGTACGGCTATTCTGGGGTGCCGACCTACCCATACGGCCATTCTGGGGTGCCGACTACCCATGTCAAGCCATTCTGGGTTGCTGACTACCCATCGGTCCTAACAACCGATCCTCGGGGACTGGTCCCCTCCTACTACCTCTATCGCATAACATAACAGGCCAACATACAAACATATCATCACATACTGTCAGACATTTATGGGGTGTCTGACTACCCTGCGGTCCTAACAACCGAACTCTACTACTATCGCATATAACGTATCATGCTAGCATATAACATATCAGGTAGTAGCAAACCTAGATGATATCACAAAGACAATCATCTATCATACGTCTCCTACTGGTGGGCCGGCATTGTGGCCTTAGACCCACCACTACTGGAAGGTAACTCACCTCAAAGTAGCTGCTGAACTGATCGGGAACTGACTGACTGCTGCTGCTGCTGCTCCGGAAATCCTCCGGCTGCAATTCCCACAACATACTCAATCAAACACTGCTAACTGTCCTTTGGGTAAAATGACCATTTTACCCCAGGTCTAGCCCTAAGTCAAAGTCAGAGTCAACTTTCAGTTGACCCGACTCGCCGAGTTGGCTCACAACTCGCCGAGTTCCTATCCAGACGATTGTCCTGAGTCCCTGATTCTACTCGTCGAGTTAGGCTATGACTCGACGAGTTCTTCTTCTAAACTGACATTGAAGTTCTTCGTCCTACTCGCCGAGTTGTATGAACAACTCGTCGAGTTCATCTTCATCCGATGAACACTCATGCTTAGACTCGCCGAGTTGTATGAACAACTCGCCGAGTCTGTTCTTGATCTATGAAGATTGCCTTGGACTCGCCAAGTCAGGGCATTGACTTGCCGAGTACCTCCATAGATGAGTTCAGCTTCCGAATCACTGAGTCACACCCCATGACTCACTGCTCACTCGACACTACGAAAAAGGGACAAATTTTGTGACTCGCGAGCAGACTCGCCGAGTCACATGAACGACTCGCCGAGTCGTTACCATGCTCCCATTAACTACACCGATTTTCTCGATTCTAGTCCATGCCATTCACAGATCTGGGCTTCTAGGACACGAATCACACGTAAAGTTTCCAACTTTACGTGTAGATATTCACCAATATGGATTTTAGGGCTCAAAGTGCACCAAAAGGGGTAGATCTAGGGCTTTCATGCAATATGACCCCATAAAGGCATTAGATCCAAGCTCTAGGGACTAAATCATGCCTAGATCTAAAGGCTAACAACTTATTACAACCCACAATGCACAAACAAGCTTGGGGAATGGCTCAAGAAGGACTTCCATGAAGCTAAAAGAGACTACAAGCTTGAAAACAGAGGGGAAACGAGCTATACCTCAAGGAAAACGTTGAGATGACACAAAGATGCCTGGCCTCCTTCTCCTCTTCTTGATCTACTCTTCTTTCTACTCAAAATCTTCAAGAACACACCAAAACACTTCAATCTCTCAAGGAAATAAGGGTATAAATGATGTTGGGAGCTCTGAGGGTGAATGGGGGCTGGCAAGGGGCGGATATGAGGTTTAAATAGGGTGCAAACCCCAGAAACTTAGGGTTTTATCCAACAGCGGTGACTCGCCGGGTCCAGGATATGGACTCGCCGAGTCGCCAACTTAAACGCGTCCTGGGTCTCGTCCCTACTCGGCGAGTCGGACCTATGACTCGCCGAGTCCAAGGCTAAAATAGGAAATACTCAAATAAGATTTACATACCAGGAACCAGGTGCTACAAATCTCCCCCACTTACTTTAGACTTCGTCCTCGAAGTCTGCTGCTCGATCCTGAAACGGCTCGGGGTAATGCTCCATCATCTCGTCCATCGGCTCCCAAGTCCATTCCGAACCCTTGCGGTGTTGCCATTGCACCATCACTAGTTCTACCCTCTTGTTCCTCAAATCCTTCGACTTCATATCGAGTATTGCAACTGGGCGCTCAATGTAATTCAAGCTGTCATCAACCTGAATATCCTCCAACGGTACTACCGCTGAATCGTCCACTAGGAACTTCCGCAGCTGAGAAACATGGAAAGTGCTATGGATCTGACTGAGCTCGGCTGGCAGATCCAGCCTATACGCCACCTTGCCACCCGAGCTACAACTTTGAACGGTCCGATGAATCTTGGGCCCAACTTGCCCCGCTTCCTGAATCGAATGACGCCTTTCCAAGGCGACACTTTCAGGAGAACCATATCCCCGACTTGGAACTCTAAGTCGGATCGACGCTTGTCAGCGTAACTTTTCTGCCGACTCTGAGCAGTCTGAAGTCTGCTCTGAACCTACTGGATCCTCTCGGTCGTCTCGAGCACCACCTCGGTGTTGCCCATGATACTCTGGCCAACTTCACCCCAGCATATCGGGGTTCTGCACCTCCGCCCGTACAACATCTCGAATGGTGGTCGGTCAATACTTGCGTGGTAGCTATTGTTGTATGAGAACTCAGCCAAGCGAAGATAGGTATCCCAGCAACCACCGAAATCTAACACACACGCCCGCAACATGTCCTCCAAAGTCTGGATGGTCCGCTCACTCTGACCATCCATCTGGGGGGTGAAAAGGCGGTGCTAAAATGCAAGCGAATGCCCAACTCGTCATGAAACTTCTTCCAAAATCTAGAAGTGAAACGCACATCCCTATCCGAGATCACCGATACCGGCACCCCGTGCCGCGCCACGATCTCGCTGATATAGATATCGGCCAATTTCTCGGCCGATATGCTCTCCTGAATTGGAATAAAGTGAGCGCTCTTGGTCAGTTGGTCCAGGATGACCCAAATCGAATCCACTCCACGCGCGGTCCTGGGAAGCTTTGTAATAAAATACATGGTGATATCTTCCCATTTCCACAGTGGAATGTCCAACGGATGCATCTTACCATGCGGTCTCTGATGTTCGGCCTTGACCTTCCTGCAGGTCAAGCAACGCTCAACGTACCATGCCACATCCTGCTTCATGCAGGGCCACCAATAGTCCAGACGGAGATCCCTATACATCTTCGTCGCTCCGGGAGGAATAGAGAATCGGGACTTGTGCACCTTATCCATCAAAATCTGGTGGACGCCCCCATGATACGGCACCCACACCCTATGGTGTAGTGTCAATAGACCCCGACTATCATAATCAAAGGAGGACACCTGACCCACCACACGCTCGCTCTTCCGATGCCCCCTCCTTGATAGCCTCCTGTTGAGCCTCCCGAATTCGCTCCAATAGGGGAGTCACTACGGTCATCCTCATGCATACGTCCCTGATCGGCGCCGCCTTGCGGCTAAGCGCATCGGCCACCACGTTGGCCTTCCCCGGGTGGTAAAGGATCTCGCAATCATAATCCTTCACCACATCCAACCACCGACGCTGCCTCATGTTCAGATTCGGTTGGTCCATGAGATACCTCAGACTCTTGTGGTCCGTGTAGATGGTACAACGAACCCCGTAGAGGTAATGTCGCCAAATCTTGAGGGCGAAGACCACAGCCCCCAACTCCAAATCGTGCGTCAGGTAGTTCGCCTCATGAGGCTTGAGCTGCCTCGAAGCGTAGGCAATGACATGCCCCCTCTGCATCAGAACTACGCCCAACCCTGAAATGGACGCATCACAGTAAACCACAAAATCCTTTTACGCCCTCTGGCAGGGCTAGGATCGGCGCCTCACACAATCTCTGTCTTAGTGTCTCAAATGCAGCCTGCTGCTCGGGTCCCCACCGAAAGACCACGACTTTCTTCGTCAGCCGCGTCATGGGTACGACTATCTTGAAAGAAATCCTGGATAAATCTCCGATAGTAGCCCGCTAATCCCAGGAAACTCCGAATCTCGGATGGAGACTTCGGAACCTCCCATCTCATCACGGCCTCGACCTTGGCCGGATCGACCAGAATCCCGTTCTGGTTGACGAGGTGCCCAAGAAATTGCACCTCGCGCAGCCAGAACTCACACATGGAGAACTTGGCATACAAGCTCTCCCTCCTCAGGGTCTCCAACACCTCCCTCAGATGCTCCTCATGCTCCTCCTGAGTCTTGGAATAAACCAAGATGTCGTCGATAAAGACTATCACAGACCGATCCAACATCGGTCTACAAACGCGGTTCATGAGGTCCATGAACGCGGTAGGAGCATTGGTGAGCCCAAACGGCATCACCACAAACTCATCGTGGCCATAGCGTGTTCGAAACGCGGTCTTCTGCGTATCCTCCTCCCTGAACCTCATCTGATGATAACCCGAATGCAAGTCAATCTTGGAGAACCAAGATGCATCCCTGAAGCTGGTCAAAGAGGTCATCAATCCTCGGGAGTGGGTAACGGTTCTTCACCGTCACCTTGTTCAACTCCCGGTAATCTATACACATCTGATGCGACCCATCCTTCT